TCATTATTATAACATGTCAGTTATTTCTTAAGTCTGTTGAGCAACTGACACAATCTTTAAACCTGCAAGTTCACAACTTTTCAAAATAAAAGTTTTGTAAATCTGCTCATTAAGCATTGCAGCAACAAAACAAACATTGTGCCTTTAGTTTGAAGACAGATGTTTGTGTTATCAAAGGTTTCCACGGTTGTTTATGAGGGTTTTGTTCCCTGCAGGAGTTTTAGGAATTTGCATTCTTCCAAATGTAATTTTAAATTAGGTTTTTCCAGTTTCACATTATCTCTTTTCCCCTGTCATGTGTTGCTTTCTACAAAAGTTTTCTCTGTCTTCACCGAGTTAATAGTTGAGAGAGTTAGCAGCTGTGTTTGGACCAGGACAATCTGTGTACCCTGAAGAGGAAATATCTAAATCAAGCCATTAACGATCAGCACTTAGAGACGATGAAGCAGGTGATTTACAGTCTGCTGATCTTATCCTCTCTGGTAATAAAGCAGTAGATTCAGCTGGAGCAAGATCTGAGACAACACCAGTGACGCTGGTGACCTGATCAATCAAATACAATTTTAAAAAACTCATATGAAAGTGGAACTAAATCCTGGAGTTTATCTAGCTCCTTATCTCACATACAGCACTTACAATACTGTCACGATCATGTTGTCCAGACACGTTGATTAAAAGGCTATCCAAAATCTGAAGGTGATTTATTGACAAAGCTGTCTGTTGTTCAGGTTTATGTTCGGCAAACAGGAACTCTCACAACATCCTGCTGGACACATGAATGGGGTTAACGTCACATGAGGAGTGGACTGCACTCAGCAAACAGTGCTACACCCAGGAGCACTTGAGCTCTCACGGGTTGAGTAAACTCTGAGACAAAGATTTAAAGTCAGTAAAGTCTGCGTGAATAATTAAATAGATGCAGGAAAAAAAACTTCACTGTGGTTCGCTTTCAATTGAGGAGTTAACTTGATCTACGGCGCAGGACTTTTGATTATACAGGGAAGAAAATCAATAAACTGTGCAGCTTTGCTAATAAAAAAGACATATTGGCACTTTTGGAGGATTTAACAGCAGAGAGAGCGGTGGGGGGAGGGGGGTTGTAGAGCGCTCTCACAGATGATTGGCAGTTTTCTGTCTCGCCAACATCGTACAGAACCACGTCCTTGATGAACACAGCTACGGCCTTCAGAATGAAAGACACAAAGAGATGCATGTGGATGCAGTTTCTTGTGCAGTGCAGCTTCCTGTAAACAAGCAAACCAGACAAATGAAGTGTCAGATGATTTAAGTCAAGAGGGAGAAGCAGCACACACAATTCATGTAATGAATTCCTCCTAATTAAAGACCTTGAAGGAGCTGTTTACGATGACTTTTCCTACAAATCATCCGATAATGAGTGTGTGTTTCTGGCACCTAAGCATGCGGCAGGAATAAATATGAATAAAATATTCACCAGGAACCTCAGTGGCTTAATTTAATGGAGCGAGCATTCAAAGAAAGTATTTTAGCTGAAGAGAAGTGGTGGGATGGCGCAAAGTGCATTTACTTGATTACTTCAGTACGTTTCTAATATATTTGTATATTTATTTTTGGGGTACTTTTCACTTTCACTCCTCTACATATATCAGCAAATACCTGTCTACTCCACCACTACCTTACATCTTCACATTGTATTTTATATTTTTAAAAGTAATTAATAACAAGAGGGGAATTGGTCCACTACTGATCCAATTAGAGTGGACAGGTAACATGAGACCCTGCCTCCTGCAACTGCAGCAATACAGCATGGTCACACATATGCAAATGTTTCAATAGCCTCCTGTTCACTTCCAATCTGTATGAGCGAGGAGACAAATAAAACATTTGCTTCCTGTGACTGAGCAAGTTTGCAGCATGGCTTCAAGTGGAGTTCCATTTTGGGGAATTCTGACCTGCAAATCGTAACCGAAATATTTAGTTAGTGAAGTTAATGATGTGGTGGACTGTTGCATTAAGGAATACAAATACCTTTACTTTTAAAAGCAAGTTCTTACTTTAATGCAAGTTAAAAGGTTAATGTAGTACTTTAACTGCACTTAAGTACAAATAAATGGACAAAAATGTACTCAAGTAAAAGCTTTCGGTTCTTCCTCCACCACTGTGCAGTGTCAAGTGTAGTGATTATAAACACTTACTGTACATGACTTATACTGACCGTTCTGTTATCTAAATGTCAAGTCATCTTTTTCATACTTTATATTGAATTAATCTTCCAGTTAAAAAAATATACTTATCAGGAGAAAAAAATAGAAAAACTCAGAACAACATGACATTCAGAACAGAAATAAACATGGACAAATCAGGCGTTTTTCTCCAAGAAAATGTCACTGATCTAAATTTTCTCTGCTGGATGCTTTCAAACAAATGCCTTCCTGGTGAGCTTATGATTGGAGGGTGAATTGTATAACCCCATCAGGAGAGATGGCCCAGAAGAAACGGGCGCGATGACACACAACATAGGCCAGCTGCCTGAACACCACGGCTGAACATAAACAGTCAAACGCTGTTCACATCCTGTATCTCTGCTCCCATGTCCAAACCATTGGCATTTCATGAGGTCGACGAATAAACACATCCCCTGTTGTTTAGCCCGTAACACACAAACAGTCCCAAAGCAAACACACCCAAATGAACAGAGTGGAGAAGAAGCTACACACAGCAGCCTCTTAAACCTATTCTAAAGATGCTTGCTGTTCCATGCCAACATGCACATATATTTTCTCTGCAACCATAAGACTGATGGGAACACGCTGTGAACAACAGCAGTTGGTTTAAGTGCATGGACTTTATGGCCGCTTGCACTCGACCACTTTGCTTGAGAAATGCTGCAGCAGCAGATCGTGTCAAATTAGGACAACAATTTATTTTTGTCATTCACATTACTGTGTGAAAAACACAATAAAACTTCTATAAAATGCAGGAAGTACGGTGTGAAATGGGAATTTTATTGTTCTAAATGATGGAGAAAAGGTGTGTGATTACCTTCATGCAGGGACATTAAGCGTACGTTTGATGGATCTCCTTACCGAAAGAGACACAGTATGATGATGGCGACAGTGAGAGAGATGAGCGACACGCTGTGGCCAATGGTGTAACCCACTTTGATGGTGGTGAAGAAGTGTCCCTGCAAAAATAAGACACTGGAGTTACAATTAACTTGTCGACCACACAACTAAAGGAACAAGGGGCCATTGGGGGAGTTTAAACTGGTTGCCATACTGACCGTGTTATCATCAATGGTGCTGTTGGGATTGTATCCACAGTCCATTATGTAGTCCATGCTGATCGGGGTCCAGCCGTCCTCGGTGCAGGTCTTTGACAGGTTACCTAATGAGCAGAGGGGCAGATGGAATACTCAACATTACTCTTATAGAATACAGTTAATTGCTGTGGCAGCTTCAGTGTGTTACACTTAAATGTTGTGTATTACTGTGTGTGAGTGTGTGAGCTGCAAGGCAAAACTTTGATTTACTCACAAGTAATTATGTCCCTCTGAGATGCATGTATCTCATTGGAATACTCTCATATACAAAAAGGAAGTGGAAGGAAAGAGTGCAGGGGATCAGTTCGCCCCACTGGCTCAGAGACGCCAGGACGGTTCCCATGTGTATTTGCCTCCATTTGTATCTTAAGAAGACTTAAGCAGGTTGCATACAAATTCTCACACACACACACACACACACACACACACACACACACACAC